GTCATTAGCACCTCTAGTAATATATTTACTGAGAAAAATGGTGACGTGTTCAATACTTATTTTACCCGCTGTATGTCTGAGATCAGAACTGAAACTTCCATTATCCTTATTTTGTTTTCTATTTACAGTCTGACCACCACTAGTTAGTCTTGACTGCATCATATGATACTTTTATCACAAAATATCCTCTGCACCATATAACCTCATGTAATGACAAAGCATGCTGAGAAACCCACAGAACAAAGTTACCTTCATAAACCTGAGTGACCAATGGTTATTCTACAGACTAATTTTACTCTGATAAAAAGTTATAAACTTTTTTTTGTGCCCCATTTGTGGTGCCACCTAGATGAACGGTGCCAAATAAATAAAGTCATACCAAATATGTAACATAACTGAAGTATTTCGAAGTTTGGCATTCAGAGCCGGCATTATATATATATWTTTTTTTCTTAAAACTAGAACAGGAAGCTGCACTGCTGAAAAAAGGAAACCACAGTTTGTCAGCTAAGTCTCTTTTCTTGTAATTTCAGATACATCTATCTCTTCAAAATGCTCCCATTGGCTCTCACTACTTGATAACAACTTCCTTTTGGTTTGACGTGTAGCTGAGTAGATAAAACAAAAAAACATCTTTAACGCAGCTTAGCCCAGGTGTCACTTTTACTCACTCCTGCTTACTGGAAGACAGAATTTGTAACTGAGTTTTTGCCAACGCTCATGATGATATCTTGACTTGTGGCTTGTTTCTGTTGAAGCCAGAGAGCAGCTCGCTCCTCAACCCACTTATGAACTTTAAAGAAAGACTCTAGCTCCACTTGAAATACAAATTACTGCTTGAAATAATGTTTTGAAAGAATGAAGGATTATTTAAAATATCAGCTAACTCTTCAGCTGAAAATATTATTACTGGAATTAAAAGGATGTTTTTGTTAAACTAACGTGTCCAGGACAATGGAGTGGATTATAGAAACATTTTAAACTAAGTACGTAGAACAAGAAGGAAATGAGTCAGGGGGTCAAATTTGCATGGTTTAGAAAAAAAAAACAGTAAAAACAGCATGTATGTTTAGGAGAATGATTATTCATCTTTTATTACTTTGTGTCTGTGAGCAAAAACAGAAACAATAAACACGACACGTAACGTTTGTTCGACAAAATCAGGAAATCAGAACTTCCTGTCAGCACCACACAGAAACATTCTGGGAGCAAAAACGCAGACGTTAAAGGAGTAAGCCTCGGTGAACTAATTAACAAAACTAGGACCAAAGGTATGTAAAGGTAACAAACCAAAATATAATTTAGACCTAAAACTGATGTTTTAAGCTGTTTTTTATTTAAGCTGACTTGTGCCAGAAAASGTCAGAAATATACATTTTTTTACTGACAAGATACAGCTTTAAGTGTGCTTACTCTGTTAAGTTTAATATAACTTTAGCTCAGGCTTATATTTAAACTTAAATCTGATTTATGACATTTTAACTACTTACTTAGAAGTTATGACAAACAATGTGAGATATTTTTCATAAACAWTGATGATTTATTATTAATACARCCATATGAAACRATGTAAGTTATGTTAAYGAWGTGTTTCTGTATTTTACATGCTGTRTATGGTTCCTGGTTCAGTGACAGCAGAACATGGTGAGCAGTTTCACGATGCAGTGGAAATCCCCATGATTCTATGTAGGCTACAACATTTTCACACAATAATCAGCTTATGAGACGATGTGAGGTTCAGGTCAAACTCAGAACAGAGAAGAACTTCTTATAAAAAAACATGTTCATTTGACTTTAAATGATTTGGATCTTGAGCTGTCTTTCCTAGGTCAGAAATTAAAGTTGTCTTAATCCCCATACAAAAGTACAGCCTTCCCTGAAGAGTTTAAACCTCCTTGTGTCAGGAGTGATCCGTGACAAAAGGGTGACAGCAAAGGTCAAAGGGAAGGTTTCCAAGACAGTGAGATCAGCTCTGTTTTAGTCAAACTCAATTCAAATTCAATAAAAGTTAATTAATTCCAAAGAGAAATCAAAATGTTGTAACTCACATTATGCTGGTTTATTTAAAGAGTTGTTATAGATACTGATGGCTGTGGGCACGAAGGGTCTTGGTCCCTCTTACAGTGGATCTGAAGAAGTCTCTGGCTGAAGACACTCTGTTGGATGTCAGTCTGATGAAGTTGTCCACAATGAGCTTCCATTTATGAAGAATACTTCTTATTACAATCATCTCCAGAGGTTCTAGAGGAGTTTCAAGAACTGAGCGAGCCTTCTATATTAGCTTGCTGATGAGATGATTGTTTCCACACCAAGGCACAAAGCGGTCCACCACCTCCCCACTCAGCTTCCTGTCCTTCTCTGATACACAGAGTCATCCGAGCATTTCTGCAGATGTCTGTCTTGTACTGGAAGTCTGAGGTGTAAAGTGTGAAAAGGAATGGTGGGAGTACAGTCCCCTGTG